TTTTTGTCCAATCCGAAAGGCGCCCTGAGTACCCTGACATCGTTCTTGCTACCACCCGGCGCCGTAGGCGGGATCCGATGTACAGGGTTTTTTCTAAATCTTCTTGCTGTCTGAATAATAAAATTTGTTCCCCTACAAGAGGTGGCTTACTAGGCCTACTCTTGATTTCCACGGGGCGATCGCTGACCCCGGGTTTGGAGCGGGGAGTGACCGCCTAGCGACCAGAAGAAGCCAGACGGCGGAGGATCTGGCGTGGCCAGTTCTTAGCTAGGCATCCGGCCGAAACCGGAAACGTCGAACTCCTTCACAGCTTGGGAGGCCCTACCAGAGTATACACTCGGCTGTGCATCGCAGTTCGACACCCAGTGTCACCCCCACGCCACGATGAGGCGACCGACCATTGTGGGAGTGAGCGATTTTCGCTTTAAATTATGAAGATTTTGAAAAATAGGTTACGTCAGCGCGCACTCCTGAAATTGATAAATACTGCAATTTTCCCTCACAAATTTCGTTTTTCCCGGCAAAGAAAACATGTATTAGAAGGAGGAGAAAAAGTTACATCGAATGGTAACTGAAGTGTTTAACATTTTATGTTTTACGAAGTTAAAATAGGCTGAATGTAAAATTGGGTCACTTCAAAAAATAAATCGTAGAAATTCTGGAAGACAAGCCATAGAGCTACAAAAAATTGCTTTTGTTGACAAAAGGTTTGCCCTATTTGCTGGTTATTAGGGCTCCTCCGAAAGTCTCATATAAAAATTTTGAAAATTAGCGAAATTTGGACATGGTAAAGACGAGTTGTTGTAATTTCCAGCAAGTATCTCGTCACTCTCGCAACGAAACACAACGGGAATTTAGCAGCTGGAAAGAGGAAGAAATTCTGCATCGGATACACTTTGAAATGTTTGTTTATCTTCATTCTAGCGTGTTTGCCGATGGATTGAAAGAACGGACAAAACTTTTGCACCAACCTAATATATATATATCAGTGGCGTACTCAGGATTTCGGCTCGGGGGGGGGGGGGTAACAAAATTTTTTTTCTAATGAAGGTGCGTGGCGTTAGCCACGCATTCCGAAAAAATTTTTGGGGTGCTTCTCAAAATTTTTGCGGGTACCCAACGCGTGGCGTCAGCCACGCCCCCGAAAAAATTTTTTTACAAGGCTAATTTGTATTTTTAAAAACTTTATGAATTATTTCAATTATTTACAAGTAAAGACAAGTTCTTTGCACATTTTTATGTTTTTAAGAATTATTTCAATTATTTACAAGTAAAGACAAGTCCTTTGCACATTTTTATAACACATATAAGTAACTTTCAAAAATTTCGCGACCCCCATTCTCGGGGGGGGGGGGGGCCTCGGTACGCCACTGATATATATATATATACAGGGTGTCCCAGAATAATGTGCACACTGTTTGATTTTGAATAACTCTCCTATTATGAGGTCTTTCGGGAAGCGGTAAGCACTATTTTGTAGAGCTGGCTTCAACTTAGATTTTCCGTATAGAGCGAATCACCGAGAACTCTTCACTACTTTAGGATTACGGCAGAAACTTGGAACATGTGTTGTCACTGTGGAAAAAACTGGCGTTTCAAAAATTTTCAAAAAGACGTGAAAACTTGTGTAATAGGCCTTTTAGGGACGCTGAGTTCAATACTCATCTATTCTCGAGATTGCGAAGCTTTCTAAACGGTGTAACTGCACCTTTTAGGAACATTGAGAAAATGGTCGCTACTGCTTACCCTCGCATAACTCTGCAATGAAGCATCATAATAAGTGGGGAACTTTACAGTTATAATCAGCAACTCAATTCAGCATAGTGTAAAAGTTTTCAGGCTGTTTTTATTCCTTTCTGAGGCAAAATATGGCCTTTCATGGCCCAAAACCGTCTTTAAAGTTTCTACCCTAATCCTACAGTAACGAAGAGCGTTCGGTGATTTTCTCTACACTGCAAATCTAAATCGAAGCCAGCTCTAAAAAATGGCGCTTACAGCTTCTCGAAAGACCTCATAATAAGAAAGTTATTCAAAATCAAACAGTGTGCACATTATTTTGGGACACTCTGTATATCATTACTTGTAATAACGGGCTAAGGATGTTTACGTGACTTTGTCTGTGAGTGTGTCTGTTACGAAATTCGTAGAACATGTTCCAGCCAACCTCCTGGGCTCAAATTTTGCAAGGCGCATGGTACCCGCATGAAAGTTTAACATGCAAAAGCACGAGCAGATTCGTTGGGTGCATCCTTTAGAAAGTGCGCGTCAAACGGATTCACTTTGCATTTAGGCGGCAAGAATACGTCCGTAAATCAACTTTTTGCAGAGTCGCGGATGTTTATGCCAAGTAAATGTGCAGCCATGAACTAAGGCCTAAAAAAGTGATCAAAAGCCCATTACTTTACAAAAACAGCGCCAAAATGTATCGTTTGCGTAAATGGTCAATTTGCCAAGGTTGTACCAGAGCATTTGACGAGATTTTTGCACAAAGATGTAGCTCACAATGACTGCTCTTCTTATTGCAATGTCAAGACCGTGGGAAAATCAAAAACTTATAGAAATTTGCGTTTGTTTTCGTGCAAAAAGTCTCATCCACGCGAAGTCACCGATTTAACATAAAAAAGCTTTAAGAAGTAGTTGTTTACATTTTGTTCGTGATAATCGATTGCTCGGTGAGTTCCAATGCCATCATTATGCGAGAATGAGTAGGGCCTAGAAAGTAGAGCCAGTGCGAGCCTCTGCGAAGCAGAGGTGATATATATATATATATCAGTGGCGTACCCAGGATTGTGTGTGTGTGTGTGTGTGTGTGTGTGTGTGTGTGTGTGTGTGTGTGTGTGTGTGTGTGTGTGTGTGTGTGTGTGTGTGTGTGTGTGTGTGTGTGTGTGTGTGTGTGACGAAATTTACAAAACAAATCGCAGACGAGGTTCCAAGCCGCAACTTTTCGCACAGTACACAATGCCAGCAAGAATCTAGAATCACTATGCAGAAGCACGAGCAGATCCATTGAGTAGATTCCTCAATAATTGAAGGTAAAACGTGTCCACTTAGCTTTTGGCCTGCAGAGCTGTGTCCGTATTATCATTTATTGCAAGGTCGTGGTCATGTTTGGCTGGCGAATGTGCAAATCAAAACCTGTAGCCCAAAAAAAGTTATCAAATGTCCAATACTTTACGAAAAAGATGCCGAAAAGTGGCCGTGTAACTAATGACTTTGATTAGGTTTTAACTGAGGATTTGAGAGATATTTGCACAGGGCTATATCTCAAGGTAGTAGTTTTCATTTTAGCGGCCAGTGCGAGCTTCTGCGAAGCAGAGTTGACGCTGTCTTCCATAAAAGGAAACGCGGTTATTCCTACTCACTGTAGAGAGAAAGAAGGCAACATTGGTAAACAAAAGAAACAGAAAAATAGCTATCTCGTAGCCGAAAGTTCTTTGTCTAGAACGTTGGAGAAAATGTATTTGTAATGCGCTTAGCAAAGGCAGAAAGCAGCCTTAGTCAGATTTGCCGCCAAAAAAACCCATTGATGCCACCCACATTCTGGGCGCAGGTGAGTGCGCAACCAACTTCGAACATTATTTGCAGTGCTTATGCGTGCTGAAGCAATGTTTTCTGAAGTTTAAATGCAGTTGATAATATGACACCGAATCTGGTTGTAAGTACACAATATGACTCCAAACCAAATATAATCATGTAAAAAGTCTTAGAAACTTGAATGTCGTAATATCAGTTTTAGAATTTGATGGTAAGACCACCACCAAACTGGCTGACTGGCCACCACCCGGTTGATAAACTGGCTTGGTTCAGACTAAATCGCGGAGAGCTTATGTAAGTTTTGGACCTTTCGGGCTTGGAGACAATTTGGAAGCTCGAAAATCTATCATTTAGCGAAGAGAACGAACCAGACTATTGCCTACCATCGTTTTTTGGGGCCATGAATAAATCAAAGTTCAGTAGATATTGTACTTAAATTCACGATGAGGAGAGCGTTTAGAGATGCTTTAGATGAGACAAGGCTTTGAGCCATGAATAAAAGATCTATAGATATCTCATTCAAATTTCGATTGAAAGAGCGTTTAGAGATGCTTGAGATGATGAAAGGCTTTCACTTTCTATGTTATCTCTCTTTTTATGACACATTGCAAAGCTGCAGAGAGATTGCCCTTGCCATAAATGTCTTTTGATTCTGATCAGCTAAGCTTTATCTCAAATTTCTCTTTGCTGAAACTCTTGTCACTGGACACATCCCTGCAGAACATATTCATGTTTTAATCGTATTTCATTTCTGCACCTTGTCCATCTCATAATCCGAGGGGATTTTAGATAGATTTGAAATAACATGGGGGACTTTGTTTTTAAAAGTGCCCGATGCCAATACGGGCAGGGTCCTGCTTTATACCTCCGCAAAAAAGATGAGCAGAAGTGTTCATGGAGCGACAAATGCATGATGCGGCGAATTCAACTTGCCACGATTTTACTAACGATTTCGGAAGGCCGGCTAAGAAAAATCATAGACAGTTTGTAGACGTAAAATGAAGGGAGAGAAAACAAACAAGATCTTTAAATGCGTGCACACTTGAATGAGATAATTTACAAAGCATTTTCTCTAAAAGGTACTTTATTTTTAAGCGTACAGACAGAGCACTCTTTCTGCATTAAGTGCGACAAGTCAAGGCGCTTCGCTGCGCATGTGCCTTGCGAAGCAGTCGGCAGTCGCTTTGTCCCACATTGCTCTCATCACCGCTCGCCGCAAAAAGAGGTTCTTCAAGGGTACCTTGGCGTGTTCGTAAGCAACTAAGATGCGGCGTACATTTAAAAATGGGACAACATTTTCATGCTTCATTTCACATCTTTTCCGCAAAGATGTGAAATGAAGCATTGTGTGCTGCATCCACTGTCTTCGCAGAATTTGAAAGAATGTGAAAAGCTTAAAGGTTACAACATGCGGCAGATTGAGTAGTGGTGGATATGAAATTCCAGTCGAAGCAGGTAAAGCTTACGAGGAAGAACTCCTTGAGTTTTTGTCTCACAAGAATGCAATGCTTTGTTCTCTCCCACCATGCAAACCGTGAAATTGTGGCGACGTCCGTTATAGACCGGAACAAACTGTAAAAGTGAAAACATTAACAAAACATGATGTGTATTAAGAGCGGATTGATACCCTACTTTCAGGTGTATAAGCCGCACTTTTTTTGTTCTAAACGCGAGCAGACCCAGGCGTGCCGCCGCGCATATGTCTCGCGAAGCGGTCGCCTTATCGCGTACTGCTCTCACTTAAAGGCAGCGGCTCGGCAGAACAGACCTACCTCAAATTTTGACACAGATGAATAGGAGGCCCTCCAAGTGAACCAAAACAGCAACTCCGCGCCGAAAATGTGAACTCTGCAAGCCAGGGGGGCAGCCCAAGCGCCGCTCCCCTTCCTCCTTTCGCTTCCCTAACACCTTGTTCGGACGAGTGTGTTATCCGCTACAAAACGCGCCTTTACTCGTAGCTTCGTAGGGCAGAATTGTGCTAGCGCTCTCTACCTCCTTACTCTGCGTCTCTGACGGCAGAGAAAATACGGCTCATTCGTCCGCGCCCGTCTCAAGGGGGGTTTTAAAAAACGGGGTTTTCCCCATTTTCGCGCTAAGGATAGTTCATATCGTGATTCAGGGGGCCGGAATAGCCCCAAATCTGCCAAAACCCCGAAGTTGGAAATCTGCCGAGCCGCTGCCTTTAAGGGCACCGTCCACCCAAAATGGAGGTTGGCGAGATTATGATGGCATACTAGTGTGGGCCCTCATACTAGACAAACCTCCAAGCTTCGCCGCAAAAGATTGCTTCTGAAGGGAGAAATCCGCTCCGGAAGTAACAAAGTGGACGGCGGGCCCCCGGCGGTCCACCCAACTCGAATTCAATTTTTTGTCGCATTCAGGCCTTCTGAAAGCCCTGATTCCAGTGGCGTACCGAGCGGGGGGGGGCGGGGGGGGGGCGCGCGCGAAATTTTTAGAAGTTACTCACGTGGGTTATAAAAATGTGCAAGTGACTTGTTTATTTTTGTAAACAATTAAAATAATTTTTAAAATTTTTTAAAAATTCAAATTAGCCTTGTAAAAAAAATTTTTCGGGGGCGTGGCTGACGCCACGCCCCCTTTTTCCGGATTTTAGGGGTTGGGGGCCCGCAAAAATTTTGAGAAGCCCCTGTAAAAAATTTTTGGAGTGCGTGGCTAACGCCACGCACCTTCATCTGAAAAAATTTTTTGCCGCGCCCCCCCCCCCGAGCCGATATCCTAGGTACGCCACTGCCTGATTCCGAATATGGAGTCGAAAATTCGCGAAACCCCCAAAAATCCCTGTTTCGAGAACCCTCTGCAACAAGTGCAGGCGAGATAAAGCTTGCAAGTGGGCGGGGCGACCGGGGCCGCCCCGCCCACTTTTGTTACTTCCGGAGCGGATTTCTCGCTTCAGAAGCAGTCTTTTGCGGCGAAACTTGGGGGTTTGCCTAGCATGGGGGCCCACACTATATGCCATCATAATCTCGCCAACCTCCATTTTGGGTGGACGGTGCCTTTAAAGGCAGCGTCCAAGCAAATCTGGGCATGTGGGTTTTTTGCCTGGAACTGTCGAAGAGACTCTAGCTAAAACACTGCCCAAACCGCAGCGCAAATTGATCATTCGCGGCTGAGAAATCCATCCCCGAAAACCCCGCACCTGCGCCGTGACCGTAACCCGAAAACGACTTCGCTCACTTTAACACTACGTTCGCCCTACCCATCCCGAGTGTTACGGTCACGGCGCAGACGGGAGGGTTTGGGGACGGATTTCTCAACCATGAATGTTTACGCTGCCCCTTGGCAGTGCCTTAGGTAGAACCCTCTCATCAATTTCTAGGCGAAAGAGCCATGCGACCAGATTTGCCTGGACACTGCCTTTACGCGCTCCATGATGACAGTCAGTCCTTTGGCGTGTTCGCCTTGGCGAAAAGGGTGCGGCTTATACACCTGAAAATAGGGTATAAACGTTGCGCCTTACTAGCGCTAAAACTCTTTAGAAAGATGAAGTAAATTAAAAACGAAAGCTACTCTGCATAAACTAATTTTCACACACCATTATAACTAAGCAAGTCTTGAAATTTAGCTATCTTCACTGTGCGATACCTGAGTCTTCAACATCACTCCTGCTTAGTAGGGAATGGTCAGAGCTTAATCCAGCCATTCCAAACGAGCTGTATATCACCGCATATATATTTATTATCTGCTAAGCGACTGTCTGGAAGAAGTTATGAGCGTCTGAATATGAGGATCGTCAACTACTGTATAGCACATATTTCACGAAAGAAGTTTTGAAAACATATATTTAGGTTTCTAGTGGATGCGCGACTTTCTTGTAATTGGAATAACAATAAAAGTGTTTTTACGCGTCTTCAGGATGCCTTTTCATGAACTTTCTTCTCTGAAAGTTGAACAAGTTCTTCTCTTACTCATACGCTCATAAGTCTTTTCAGATATCGCTTGGCAGATAATAAGCATATACTTGAAATCAGAGTTTCAAGGCGAGTCCAATGATGTACAGCTTTGGAATGGCTGGGTGGAACATTCCTTATTCAATTTAACTTGTATAAACCAAATGTCTGCTTGCATTTATATATGTACGTGTGTACGTATGTTTCGAAGGGGGGGGGGTGTCCTAAACTAATATTCTTTATCGAGAATTTTCGTTAACGAAAAGTAGCCTCTGAACTTCAGTTAAAAGAGCATAACGGCGTGATGTTGAGTGTATCGACTACAAGGAAGGAAAACTTTTCCTATTTATTGAAAACATGAATAACTGTGAAAAAGCAAATTAATTTACCATGCTCCTTCCATACGCCTTCAGTAACCTACGCAACCAGACCGATCGCGACACTTCTGTAATTCAGCAAATGTGCCTCGCCGAGCTGCATCGAACGGCTTCCTTAGAAATCGTCCATTGTGAAACGAGATATGACGATGCGACGCGGATTCCGGCGGACTTTCGCGGAGTGCACCTCACTCCGCTCCACTCTAGTGGACCACGGCTAGTGCAATTCATTGCACTCTGGCGCACTCCGCAGGAATGCGCCGCAGTTTGGCGACTTTTTTGACGAGTTATGAGCAGTATTGTATGTTTGTTTGTATGTATGTAGGTATGTATATGTGAGCGGCTCCACAACTTTGGCGAGGCGGAGCTTACCTGATCCATCGGTCTTTGGTGAAGATCACGATCCCGCCTCGCCAAAGTTGGGGAGTCGACATTACGCATATTCTAGAAATTATTATCTCTGAACCGATCCGGACCAAACTTTGCACACATACACTTGGGGCGGGGTGGGTGTCGTAGGCTACTTTTCATTGATCTATATCGATTTATCTATTCCTTGCAAAGTTTGAGCTAACTGGGAGTTGGCACTACTCAGCCACTCGCTGCGGCTGCGCGCGCACCACATCCCCCGCCGCCGATCGTGAAAATGGCGCGCGCGCCGCGTGTAATTGGAACGCTCCACGCAAGTAAATGATACGCGCGTTGCACGCAAATGGCGCGCCGCTCGCATGGTACGAAAAAATACCATTCGCATTTGAAGCACTGTGAATCACGGGTGAATGTAATAAACCTGAGACGACCCTTCAACTTCAGGCAAAAAATCAAAATTGGATTTTGAATTTCTCAAATAAGAACTTGAAGTTTCCAAACTTTGAATTTGAAAATTCGAATTTCGAGAATTCATAATTTTTTTCCAAATTTGAATCTGCTTTTGAAGACCGACTCTCAATAAAAGACCTACTTCTATTGAGACAACTCTAAAGCAAAGCAGGGATAATCTCAACAAATTAGCGATGAAACACCCAAAACACTGCGTCGTACTTCACGCGGGTATCATTTGTGCTTATAGCGTGTGAGAATGCGGAAGACATCATGGCACGCCGCTCACTGACAAGTTGCGCGCCGCTCGCAGTCTCAACTAATGCGCGGCGCTGGCAAGGCAGCCTCAAATAGGGCGCAGCTCACACTGTAGCGCCATTGTGGCGCGCGCGTGGTCGCAGCGAGTGTTTGAGAAGGGAGTAAGTGAGAATGCTGCTTACGAATATACAGTGCGTTTCATAATTATACGACACCCCTCAATATATCCGGATTTATGGGGAAGATGGAGCAGTATTATCAGTGTCATTATGGTCTACACCTAACATAAGGTAAAATGACATTTCATTCGGTGTTTCGTTGCGATCCACTCTTCAAGTACCTATACCTGTTTTATCTTATGCTGTTTCATATATACGACACCCTTTGCAATAACATTTTATCGGAAGAAAAAATTGTAAAACGTGTTTCTAATAATTAATTGGGCTACCGTGTCCCTTTATTACTTTAGAAAGTCTACTGCGCATGCTTCCTGCGAGGTTTTTCATGGTTTCCTGCTCTGTGCTGCTCCAAGCGTCTGTGGGTGACCTTTTCAGCTCTTCTAGGGTGTCACGTTACTTGTGTCCTGCGTACACATCGTGCCAGTGTTCCCCAAAGATCCTCTATGGGATTCAGATCAGGGCTGCATAACGGCCATCGTAGAACCCCCACCTGATGTTGACGCAAAGAGTCAATCGTTGACCTGCTCACATGCACACGAGCAGTGTCTTGCTGCAAAATGTACTGCTCTCCTCTAGGGTCGTTGAAAAATGCAGCAATCGGTTGTCAAGGACTTCTTGGTAATCTGTGCTGTTCATATTCATATCGATAAGAGCCATGTCAAACCTTTCGTTAGCGCAGAATGCCCCCCAAATCATGAGCGAGCCTTTACCAAAGTTTCTTTGGCCGAAAAGCAGGAAAGCCCTCAAATCGTGCCAATAGCACTTCTGGCCGTCGCATCCGTCCAACTTGAATTTCTTTTCATCGGACCAGACCACCTAAAACAGCTGACCGTTCTTAAAAATCTGAATGCACTTGTTTTGATGATGCTTACCTTCTCTCATTCTCTTCCCATATTGTCTCTCGCAAACTGTAGCCGGCGTACTTTGTGTTGCTGTGCCATTCTGGGCGCCTTCCCCATAACGGCACGCTTGATGTGCCCGGACATTCTATTGCTCTCCAAATCTTTGTTCGTGACACGTCCAGCTCCAGA